GCATATATGCAATTTTAAACCACTCAGTATTGAGTGCATAAATCTTCCGAATGTCGCAGGAACATTACATAATCCGAATAACGTTGAACTCGTAAAGTCCGTCGGTCGTCATGAACGCCGTCTTTTTTTTGTCAACTTGGTGCATCGGAATGTGCCAGTAACCTTATCTCAGGTTGACAGATGAAAAGTAGGACGCGCAATGCAGGCAGCCTAGAGCGTCATCGATGCGCGTCAGTGGATCGACGTCTTTCTCTGTAACGGAATTGAGTCGGCGGTAGTCAACGCGAAATCTGCCCGTACCATCCTTCTTCCTCACTAGAATGACGGGAGCAGCCCACGAACTTGCCGATGCCTGTATTATTCCCTTTTCAAGCATTTCTAGGAGTTGTTTGTCGATGATCTTGAGCTCCGATGGTGCCACTCGGTAAATATTCTGCCTAATAGAATGCGCCGACTTGGTGTGGATCTAATGACGTATCCGGGACTGTGCAATTAAGGGCCTTTGGCTGTTTTAGAAAAATTGAATTTTCGAGTGCTTAGATAGAAGGTCGAGCAGTGTATGACGTTCTCTTTGGTCAAGTGACTTGCTGACCATTTGTAGCAATCGGGTATACTCTGAACCTTGTGAGCCTAGATGATCATTTTGGCTTGTAGCATCAACAAGTGCAACCAGCGTCGTACGCTATTCGGGTCTAAATACTGCAAGTTTCATGCCGCCTCGAAAAACTGCAGGCTCCATGGAACTGTTCATTGTCCACACACCTACCAGTCCATCAACGACTGGCACTATACAATGAGGAATGATAATGTTCTTTTTCAGGCATGCCAAGAGAATCGGTTCGAGCGTGGCGTCAAACGTGCCACAGTTGTTATTGAAGCATGTCACGGGAACACACACATCAGAAATGCAGGAATGACTGTGTCCATAAAGACGAAAAAGATGCATTCATACGGTGAGGAATTTTTCAAGAGCATTGTTGAGAAAGTACCGTGTATGGAAAGTTGCCCACTTCTGCAGGGTATAGTTGCCCCACACTCACACAAGAAGTCGATACCCAAAATAACGTCATGTGTAGACCAAGGAATAACCGCAAACACCGTGCAAAACACCTTGCCACACAGCGAGACGTCCACAGTACAATATCCCACCGTACACAACGCGTCACCACTTACACCACGAAATATCACACCACAGTTTAGAGAAAACATCACTTTAAGTCCTAGCATGTTATTAAAATTTACACTCATCACTGAGACTGTCGCGCGCGTATCCACTAATGCCATAGTAGCCACGTCATCAAAAACTACATGAACTCTGTTTTTCAACATAAACGCTGACGGGGGTATATCTGTAGATAGCGCCTGTGATTTCGTGGCCTCACCCCCACTGACCGCACCGACTAGTTTTCCAGCGGCGGTGCCCGTGTGCGTCACCATGGCGATGGCGTTCGTAGAGCACGTGGAGCTTGTGGTGGCGTGAAACTTCGATCAGAGGCTGGCGGGGGTAGCATGACCCAGTAGGTGCACGTAGTTTCCATGACGTGGAGGGCGGATGGTCGAAAGGTTGGTGAGACATGTACAAAGACTGTCGTTGATATGAGTGGCGGTCAGAAAAGCGTGCAATGTGACCCGGGACGCTACATTTGTAGCATACCGGAATTGGTCGAGGGGCACGTGGCTGCTCAGTGTAATGACTTCTCTTGGAAGGCATGGGATAGTTGTGCTGCTCTTCAGGGGCACCGTAGGCAGGCGAGGCAGGCGAACCAGGCGGACGAAAATTTCATTCGCAATTTGAAGGTGGTTGACGTGGGAATCCAGCCAGCCGTGTGCCTTGATATTCATAAGCGCCTGCTGCGTTGATAGATGGTTGCCATGGTGGAAGAGAAACAGGAGTGGGCACACGTTCTGGTTCGCTTGCGTACGCATCCTGAAACTTGCTGGGGCGATGATAGGTCTGCTCACATCGAAGCAGCTCATCTCTGATGATCTGCCGTGTGGTCAAATCAAGGTCGTTAGGCTGAACTGTTTCAATACCAGCCAGAGTGGGGACGTTGAACAGGCGGCCGAATTTCGGAGAAATTCGTCAAATCTTGAGAGATTCAAGGCCACGACAGTGCTTCATAACGTCGGACACGGAGTTCACACAGTCTTTACAAATTAAGAAATGGTACACGTCTTCCGCCATACCCTTGAGCACGTGTCCAACCTTGTCTTCTTCAGACACCCTTGCATTCACGATTTTGCACTACTTCGAGATTTTTGCTATGTACGTCGTACATGTTTCTCCTAAAAGCTGTGCCATCTGAAAATTGTCTGCTCCGCGCATTTCCATTTTGCGTTAGAATTTCTCAAGCACTTCTGTACTTCTTGAACAAAACGTTGCCAAGTCGTGAATATGTCTTCGTGGTTCTCGTACCACATGAGGGTAATGTCAGTTAACGAGAATACAGCATGATTAAGCTGTTAGTTCGAGTCCGGGCCATTGTTTCTGCTCACCCGCTTGTAGTTCTTGAGCCACACGTTGACGTCTATTTCTGAGGTCTCGCCGAAGTTTGGTGGCACTATGTCTGTAGTACGGCACGGAACCCATCACAGTTGGCCTCAAAGCGTTGGATGGCTGCTCCTGGCCTTTAAGATCGGTGAAGGCGGGATTCCGGCAAGGCGGCGGCTGTGACGAAGTCCGGTAGTGAAGCTCTTGTCTTTGAGTTCGTCCTACCCACCAAATTCACCTTCCACGAAATTGTTACTTACGGTGAGTTAACTTAAGGGGAGTTTAATGGGCACTGAGACCGCGATCACAGTAGAAGCAACGTCATCTTCCTTCTCTACCCACGCTTCTCTTGTTTTTCCTGTTCTTGACACTTTGTATCTCTATATGAAAAATTGATGCTGACGCCATGATGCTATTTCTAAATACGCTCACGCAACTGATCAATAAATGCTTGGCGGAAACCGGCAGACGCAATACTGTCGCGAAGCCCAGGAACAGTTACACGGGGAAGGGCTGATTTTTTGAAAGCGTTGTTCATCTATTTTTGCAATCGTTACGTTATTGATAATATAAGTAGGGCGATGTGCATGAAGGCACTTCCAACGATAAATGAAATGTCCTCACGCTGTCGCTGAAACAAAGATGAAATAGCACTGAAACAATGTACATTTATTTGCACAAGTGCTATATAAAATTCGGTGTGCAATATGCTGGAATGTGCTCATATTTTGATTGTTAGGGTTTCACTTCCCAAGACCGCAATAAGATTATGAAATGGCATTGTGTGGAACTTCAGAAATTTTCGCCTTCAGGAGTTGTTTAACACGCTCATTATTCCAGCATTTCGCCACCATCATTATGCGGGCACAGTGGCCGTAATTCGATTTCGGGACCTGCGTGTCAGCACTCGAGTACCGCAATCTGGTGATCACCTTCACGCAAGCCTAATTGAAAGACCACCCGCATATTGAGTTGTGTTACTATGCCACTACAAGCAGACTGAACGATGGCGTTCACGGTTGTTGTTACGCTAAACATTTCGTCCAGATATGAAGATTGTTATGCAAATGCTAACTTAAGAGCAGGTTGAATATTTTTAAAGTCTCGACCAAGACGAGCTTCGGGAAGTAATTGAGCAGTTGCAAAGCAAATATTGCTGCCCCATGCCTTTTGTTTCTGAATGAGCGATGCCATTCGTCAAGTGGCCAGATCTTCAGAGTTGCCATATCATAACTGCCGAGGACTTTTTTGACAGATTCTTCATTAAAAATGCTTTGCTTACGTTTGAATATTTGCTGTTTGGAAACATTATTCGTACTTGAACCGTTATTTCTGCCGACAAGCCAACAAACGCACCATTATGTTTAGTTATTTATTTTAATTTTCTTTGTAGTACTATGCAAGTTGTGTAAAGGTGTTTGCGATTAAAAGAGCTAGCAGCCAAATTGTTCATTAAGGTGCGCAAAAAAGCTCAGGTTCAATTATCTGGTTTGACTACACGCGAAGGCGAGCAGATATTTCCATCAAATTTTCGCCATAAAAACTTAAATAGTGGGAGAATTGAGGTACCGCACATGTAGCTATAAATAAAAGCGCACTGTACTATCAGCCGTGCATTCATTAAAAAACGAAATGCTGAAAATAATCGTCTTGTCTTGTGTGTCCTTTGCGGGTGCACGTTGTGTGTTCTGTCAACGCGGTCCTTTGTATGTTTTAGTCTTTTGCACAAATACAAAGTAGTATTTTCTCAAAACCTTGAAATTTCAATTTTACCAGACTGCCACGCCCTTCATAAAGTATGTATTTGTATTTGTATTTCCTTTATTTTCTTTTGAATTTAAGAGGAAGCTAGTCTACTTTCGATATTTTTGTCACGTTAGAAGGCGAGAAATCAGTTTTGTTAATCCTGGAAATTGTTAGGCGTGTAGACACGTGCAGAAGTGGTTTTTGGTGCATCACATACTCTGTACGTATACTCACAAAGAGTGCAAAGTTATGTCCAAGAGTTGATCACCAGCTTTTTTTAAAATTTCAAATTACGTATTGTCGCGGCCTCGTGACGCAGACGAAGGGAGCACACTCGATGTTTAGATGAAACTGTTTGTTTGGTCGACCTTTTGGATGGTAAACGGGAAGTCTGGTTACAGTAACACAGGAACACCGGTAGCGTTGACCTGACTGTTGGTCATCGATGAGCCTTTGACTGGTCTCCCCGCAAGCTCTAGAATAAGCTGAAGTGCTCACGCCTTGCGTACGATCTTAACAAAATGATCTACAATAATTGCGAACCTTCTGGAATAGGTGAGTCTCGCATTCCGAAGAAGCTTTGTGGCCGAAAACCAAATAAAACAAGACTAAAGATAACAAACGCGCGTGACTGTGTTATGAGAAGTTGCTGATTCTGAGACATTCATGACATGAGAATTTCGCATGGTAAGCTAGAAGGATGTTTTGTGCCACAGCTAATATGGCTTGTGGGCAGCATGACAACTTGAGTTCATTTTTTCAGATTAAAGCTTTCATTGGGTTGGCACCTTTCTACAAGTTGGGACACCTAAAAGTACCACCGTTAGCCGTGTTCTCACCTCATGCAGAAGCACCATTGGTACGTATAGCAAGCACTACTTTCTTTATTGTCTCTGCCTCTTGTTACAATTAAAGCTGTACTTAGAGGTATAGCGCATCCAGGACGGGACAGAGAAGAAAACACAGAACACATACACGGCGCTAACTTGTTCTGTGCTCTGTGTCTTCTTCTCTGTCCCTTCCTGGATGCGCTATACCTCGAACAACAGGAATAACCAACACGCCCGCCATGCAACCTTAGTAAAGCTGTACTGCCTACTGGGTCATTGCATGTCGAACGTCACAGACAGAGCGCTCAGCTCGTTCAGAGAGTATAAGGCAATATCATAACCGAGTGTCCTGTGCATTGCCTTCTCTATTGCCAGTATCGCTTCGGTGCACGCCTCAGCCACGCAGTAAAAATACAAATAGCTAGCCGCTTACAACTGGCCGTGCACAAAAGTCCTAGAATACCTACGGCATATAGTTATTATGTGCTAGCAAATGTTCTCCCAGATATGTGTTTTTCGCGCTCGAAATTCTCGTCATAATTATTACTCTTGCGAATCAGCGAAGGCACGACAATGCGCCCTACCTATCGCAGCTTTTGGCTTTCTTGGTGCTTTTTCTTCTTATGTAGATGACGAATTAGGCCTGAGGGCTTTGTAGTGAGCGAGGATTGAAAACACACACCTATTGATAATAACATAATTTCAAACCTGGCACAATTCCACACTTCTTTAACAGAGTACTGCATGAGTTAAAAATTGCTGCCTATACCTGATATCCACGTAGCTTTGTTCCCACAGCTGTTTCACAATACCACCTGACTTCATGGTAGAATACCTGCTTATTATGCATACTTTCTGTGTTTGATTTTCAGCCGCATTTGAAGATTTTTCATATTTATTTTCAAATGTTTTGGTTTTGTTTTTGTCACGAACAAAATTATGATTTTTTTGCTCACAACCAACGATGCTGTCGCTTACACCGACGCTTACATGGCGATTTCTGCGAAACGACCTATATAACGCTATTGCGTTTAAATTGAAGGCAATAAGCTTGGAGCAATTTTCGGTCTCCCATCGAATCTTTGCAAAGACAAAATTTTTCGCCTCAATGAGGGGGTCGATTGTCGCCGTATGGGGTCAAAGAAAGATCCGCCAAAACACAAAACTGCACAAAACACAGTCAATAAAGGCTCTTTGCTCGACAAGAAATAGCGTGTTTTTTATTTCGTTCAACTGCCGTCGGTCATTCTTCCTCACCATATACTTTGCCGTGGTGCGAACGCAGATTCTGTGCCCGATCGGAAAATTTTTTATATGTTTTACGAATGCAACTACAATGTGGAGCGTCTCATACTTCTACGGTTGAAAATATTGATACGAGACTTTCAACGAAGGTTAAAGAGGAGAAACAGGGGACAACGTCCTGGGCTCGGCTTTTCTTCTGCGATTATTCATCACCCCACCTGTAAAATAAATATGTCGCACCACAACAAAGTTGATGGACAGGGCTAGCTACCACCTTGGAGCCCCAAGAAAATAAAGCAGAAGACATGCCACTGGAGCTTTGCTGAAGCCGCAAACTAACACTACTTCCACCGCTACCAGACACGAACCCTGACGGTTACTTCCAACCACCAGCGCCTGGCACCCTTGGAGAGCATTACAGGAAGCCGCGCACTTTCTCAAGGAAACCTGGAGAGTACGTCGAGAAATGACTGAACACTATCGGCTGGTTAGACTGCACAACTATTCGGACACTACCAGACAGCGGGATTACGTACCATTTTTCCTTGAGGGAACTGCTTTGATGTCGTACGACAACGACCAGGACAATTTGACTAAATGAGCAAATTTTGTCGACGAAATGAAGTTGTGTGTTGGCGATCCGGCCGTGAAAAAAAAGGGTGCTGAGCTAACCCTGATCCGACATGCTCAAGTCCCTGGGGAGACGTGTATTATGAACAGAAAGGAAGTTCTCAAGTTGTGCAAGCGTGTTGACCCACTTATGACTGATGAGGATGAGGTCGGGCATTTGCTCAAAGGCTTTGTGGAGGATAACTACCACTATCTCATAGGAAAAGATTATTTGTAGTCGGCGACCGAAATTATCCAACATTTCCAATCATGTCAGGTCCGTAAAACTCCGCACACTTAGGCAAATTTGGGTCGGCTCCCCAACGTTACTACAGGCACAAACATCGATGTGAGTCTTCCACCCAGCGATCTGGCTTCAACAATACGACAAATGGCCCATGAAGAACTTGATCGGTGGGCCGCTGGTGCGTAGTCGATCGCACGAGTTCACGGATCTTTCACGCCATGCCGCACCCCACCTCTGTCTATCAACATTGCCGGATTTGACGATTCAAGGATACCAGTACAGTCGCGTGGTCATGCCTCTTTTATGAGCAGCGAAATGACTCTATGTGAACGTCACCCCTGTCGTGGCAGCGTGGCAAGATCATCGCGCTGGCCATCTTCAGCAGCGAGTCGTGTTTGAATGACCAGTGTGCTTCCATTGTGCCGTTCTTGACATATAGTTCGCCTTTGCTCGGCGCGCCGTTGGGCCTCTGCCGCAGTATGAATGACCTCCGGCTTCCACACGGAGCTCAAGTACTCGGGGAGACCATCACTGGCCACAGAATGGTTACTATTGAAACAACTTCCATGAGAGTCCCCCAGTGAATGCCTGCTTCTGTGCAGAGTGTGACGCCACCAGGCTCCCGCCTGCATCGTTCGCCATCACCAGTTATTCCGCGGCTCACTTCTTCTCCTCCGACAGGAAATAAGACGCCGGGGCAGATGGAGGTGAGGTCACCGGACATTTTTAACTGCGTGCACATATGCATCGATCTGTTTTTATGCTACCGAAAAAAAGTCAGCATATTGAAGAAGTGAATGAGGATCAGTAAGACGAAGCGTTCGTTCGTGCATCCGTAAGTGTGCATACGTCTGTGCACGCGTTCATGCGTCTAATCGCATTCTAGAATGCAGATGGCGTGCCGGTAATACCGACGAGACGTGAGCCAAGAAAGCCGAGCACAAGCGCTTTCAACGCGCCCGCCGCTATGCTTCGACCATGCCCCACCAATGATCTGCCATAAACGATGACTATCCAGGAGACTCCGAGAGGCAATCGTTCTCCGTGCACTCAGGGAAAGAGCGCGCAGCCATTCAGAGAGTAGTGTCAAAGTAACAACCTCAAGAAAACGAGACGACAAATGATGATGCATTTCTTTTGTTTTCTTTTCTTTCTCGTCTCTTCTTCTCTCGGTTACGCGGGACATGTAACAATGGTTGACTAATAGTAGCTTCACTCCCACTAAGGTCGATGTTTTTCTGTAGGGTGTTCTGAGGTCAGCTTAAGTCGACTCGAGCGCAAATCTTTACGTCATGAGCAGCAATTTGAAGACTCGTCTCTGTAAGAAAGTGATGTTATCTTGAAAAAACAAGGCAATGATTTGTGCTGTCAGGGGACAACCGTTGCGCCCAGTGGGAGCGTGTACTGCAACTGTTATTTTGGGGCTGAATTGCTTAAGACAGAGTTTTCAGTTCTTGTGAATTTTACTGAAGACGCTATACTAGGAATTAACTTTCTGAAAAATTGTGAAGCCACCGTGGACAGCGCTGCTGTGAGAGATATACTGTCTGTTTTTTCGAGGAGCCCCGCGTTGCCAACAGCCTTTCGCAGTCGTTGATGACATAATTCTACCGGCTCAGTCCTTAGTTCAAGTGCCAGTTGACAGTGGTGGTATCATGCAGATAACGTTCACATTATAGTTTACCTAATCCAGCTGAGCTGTCCAAAGTGAATGTTTCCGCTTACTCCCGGGCCTCTTTGCGATTTTGATGCATCAGTCCTCACTGGGGTGCACAGAGACGTCAGTGGAATCAGTATCGCCGCAGTCTTAGTTCAACCTCACGAAGCCACCGAACAGGTCATTACCTACGCAATCCGTTCTTTCAGTAAAGCTGCACGCAATCACACATTTACAGAACATGAATATCTGGCAGTTGTCTTCACCGAGCAGAAGTATTGCCCGTAGTTATATAGCGGCCGATTTAGTATCGCCGCCCCGCCGCAGTGGTCACGTGGCTAAGGTACTGGGCTGTTGACCCGCACGTCGCGGTATCGAATCCCGGCTGCGGCGGCTGCATATTCTATGAAGGCGGAAATGTTGTAGGCCCGTGTGCTCAGATTTGGGTACATGTTATGGAACCAAGCTGGTCGAACTTTCCGGAGCCCTCCACTATACGGCGTCTCTCATAATCATATCGTGGTTTTGAAACAATAAACCCCACAGAATATCATCACACTGTATCTCCACATATCACCGCTCAATTTCACCGTCTTGCACGTTGGGCCATGCGTTTGGAAGAATATGACTTTGATGTGTGCTTCAAAAGTGGCCGCCATGATGCGGACGCTGACTGCCTTACGTGACTTCACCTTTCATCGACTGAATTCGACGCCGACAATGTAGATGACTGTTTGGCCACTCTTGACTCGCGGTTTCTAGATTTAGGAACGTTCCGTACAGAACAGCGTCAAGACGCTAGTGTGGCTCTTTTTTTTCTCATCAATCTTCGATAAGCCACATAAATCTCCATTCGTCGTAAAGGATTACATTCTTTACAAGCGAAATTTTGCAGCAAAGGGAGCCCGTTCACTTCTAGCTGTCCCCAGCGCTTTGCGACCCCACTTGCTGCAATCTACGCAAGGCCCAACATCTAGGCATATGGGGTTCGGCAGGACCGATAAGCGCACTCTGGATTGGTTTTAGTGGCACCGCATGCCTCAGGCTACAGCTAAATACATGATCAGTTGTGAGCATTGCGAACAGTACAAACAACCAACAAGTGCACCGCTGGAATTTCTCCATCCAATTTCGCCTCCACGTTTTCCCTTTGAAGTCGTCGGCCATGACTTGATGGCCACCCCAAGCTAAAATTGATCACTATGAACCGCTGGATCATAATTTGGTTTGACCACCCCACTCAATATTTTGAAACCACCGCGATCTCTGCC